TTACTCCTCATAAGATAAGACTTTCTCCTGTTTCTTTGGCTTAGGGACAGCAGTGTAAATGTGCTCATCAACATCAGCAGGAGTTTATTATTTTTGAGAGATTCCTATGACTTGAATAAATCCAGAAGAGGTCTGAAAGAGCTTCCAATATGAAATAGTTATCTGTTTGTCACTTCATTTACATTATATTCTTAGGCTCCTTTAATCTTAGTTTATCTGGTATATTCCCCAGTGTGTTGACCCTGAAGAATGTGTAATATGAATCCTATATTCTAGACCTGATGATGGAATTAAGGAGAAGTTAAATTGAGGACAGGACAGGAAGACTAGGAGTCATGCCCCTCATCTTCTAGCCATTAGACCATAAGGGACTAAAGGGTGACTTTCAAACTTAAGCCATTTCTCTGGGATTCTGACACACCTTTCTGCTACTACAGCTGCTTTCAGAGTTTCATTTTGAGCTGGCTGCACTGAGTCATGTTTTGTATGATTCAAATGATAAACAAAGGCATACTTCCCTCTATCAATGTTACTGACTACGGGCATATCTGAAGTAGAGAGTTTAGCAAAAACCGGGAAAGGAGCCACCAGACCTGTCCTGAATTAAATTTTCATTAACCATGCAACCTGTATTTTTCTGGATGTTCCTAATTTCAGTTATTCTGTTTTATCAACCCTGTAAATTCAGGCATACTTTAAAAACCAGGTATACTAATATTTTGTTGGGAAATAGTCATTTGGGATTCCTTGGATGGATTTCCTAGACTTTTACAGTTGCTTTAATTTCTGATTTCTGTTGTGCTTTCTGCTATTACCAGTTGGTTTATTGTGTCTCCTATTAAGTCGTCTCTCCTGTAATTGTCCAGGGTAGACTCCTGAGTTTGGTGCCAGATAGTCAGGTCCTCTAACTTGTGCCAAAAGAGAGGCAACTGCACAAAACCCACTTCACTTACTTGGAAAACTCTTACCTACATTATCAGACTTTGCTATTCCCCCAGTTTATACCTTGAGAGAAGAGCATCAAATACCTACTGAAGTGTTTTTTTCTTTTTCCCTTTAATTTTTATAAATGCTTGGTAAATAGTGCTATTTTGTCTTTAAGTCCTGAATAATTTATATGTCAGCATATGTTTAGGATCATCCTAGAGATGATCATTCAACAGTACTTTAAAAACGTGCATATGTGTGTGTATGTATGCAGATAGATTTTTTTACATTTGAATTTACTGAATCTGTGTCCTATTTCTTTATTCACCGATCAATACATTTTTAAGCTCTTCTCTTTCAGTGTATGAGACTCACACCAATCTCTTTATGAGCAGCATAGTATTCTATGCAGCATTTATGGTGCATTCATAATTTATTTTATATTTATCTATAGATAGATATTTAGTTTAACATTTCCCAAATTGTTAATATTTCACATGATGTTGCAGTCAACTTCTTTGGACACTTATATATTCTTAAGTGTTTCTTTAAGGTACAGTCCCACAGTTGGCCTTTCTGATTCCAAGGACATGTACATTTATAATTTTGATAAACATTCATTGTCAGGCTTCTCCTCTGCTCATGCAAAAATACTGCATGTATACCCTTATCAACCATCCATGGGAGAATTTGTTTCTTCTCCTTCTCCCCCAATATAAGATATTATCAATTTTTTAAATTTATGCTAATCTGATGGATGAAAAATTGTATTTCTTGTTTTAATTTATATATCCCCGATTAAGAGCGAAGCTGAGCAGAGTTTTCCTATTTTTCATAAGGCAGTGCTCTCTAGGAGGATTCAACAGCTAAAGGTAAAAACAAAAGCTTAAAAATGCTTTAAGAAACTAGGAACATATATAATTACCTAGGAATAAATTCATAAAGTAAAAGTTAACAGATTTTTTTACCATATGTGTTTAAAAAGTATGCATGCAAAAAGCATCAGAATACAGTTAAATGGCTGCCTCTTTACATGAGGAAGGCTTTGCTAAATAAGGCAAACAAAACACTAATACTCAAAATATATAAGGAGCTCCTACAAATCAGTAAGAAAAAGAACTCAAGAGAAAAATGTGTAAATAAATTCTTTGTAGATGAGGAATCCTGAATGGCCAATGAATGAAAATGCTTAACCTGCTTGCTTTTTTCCCCCTATTAATAATATAAAATAACTGTCTTATGTCAACCATATAGATCTTCTTGATTCTCTTAAATAATTATACAGATTATTTATTTATTTAAACATTAATCTGTTGCTGGATATGTAGGTTGTTCTCTATTTTTGCTATGGTAATTCTCCAGTATGTTTATTTACACACTTCTTATTTGGATTAAATTCCTACACATTAATTTCCTAGGTCAAGTGATATACACATTTAAAATCTGTTATGTATTATAAAATGGAATTAATGAGAGTGGACCTCTCATCACAAACTACCAATACAGGCATTATCGGGTGGTTTTTTTTTTTGTTCTTGTTGTTGTTGTTTCTGTTTTTGTTTTTATTTGAGACAGGATCACACTCTATCACTCAGGCTGGAGTGCAGTGGCACAGTCACAGCTCACTGCAGCCTCAACCTCCCAGGCTCTGGTGATCCTTCCACTTTATCCTCTCAAGTAGCTGCTACTACGGGGACTACAGGCATGGGCATGTGCCACCACGCCCAGCTAAATTTTTTTGTATTTTTTTGTAGAGCTGGGGTTTCACCACATCACCCAGGCTGATCTCAAACTCCTGGGTTCAAGCAATCTGCTCACCTCGGCCTTCCAAAGTGCTAGGATTACAGACCTATTGTCAGTTTTTTTAGTCTTAGCCTGTCTGATAGGTGAAAATTTCTACCTTATTTGAAAATATTTGTTTCTTTAATTATTAAGATTTAGTGTCTTTTAATGTTTGTATTTTTTAAATGTTTGTATGCCGTTTGATTTTGTTTACTGTTTTGTTTAGTAATTTTCATTTATTGGTTTATTCTATCCACTGGTTTTTCTGTTGGTACCTACATTGAATATGTGAACTCTTTATATATAAATGGTATCCCTTTTCTTTTACTGTCACCTACGTTACAACTTCATCTTTTTGTTATTTAACTTTTTACTCTGTTCTTGGTGTTCTTTGACAAAAGTTTTGTGTGGTCATATATGTCAGCCTTATGTTTTTTAGTTTTGGTGTCTTATTGTTATTATTGTTGATATACAATAGGATAGTTAATGCACATTCCCTCAGTATGCATTATTTTGCTACTTGGAATCTTTATTTCTAGAAAAATGTAGAAAGTTGATTAAGTATGCCACAAGGATAACAATTCTCAGCGCCATGTAAGTTTGAATATGCAGTTACTGTAACTTGTTTTACTTATCCTAAGTCTTACTTGCCAGTTTTTATACATCATATTAATATTTCTACATCAATTTAATCATCTCTGTTCATTATTGTGTTATTTATATCTTTTAAGATCTGTGTTTTCTGTTAGATCATTGTTTTACCTGCACATTGTATTCTCTTCAAAATGATGAGTTGTGTCTCCTTGTTTAGCTCTATATGGTACTACTTACCTGATAATAACCACTTTTGATGATAGCTGCAGTGGTGGGACCCAAAATAGATGCATAGGTCCTAGCAGGTTACATAGCTCCTACAAACTGATTCTAGATTGTACCAGCAAAGACTTTTTAATCATCCTTTCACCAGACTTGACTATTATATTTAAAAGAGAGAATAGCACAGTGTTACTATGCAATGGATCTACTATGCATATTCTCACTGCTTTAAAAATCACTGATGATATAAAAAGAGAAGAGTGCACTAGCTTAGTGTTTGATCTTGACCACATAGATCTAACATCATGATCAAGTGCTTTCAGCATTTTCTTTGAAATCACATAAGGTTCATATGTGCCAGATTTCATAAGGATCACATGATAAGGTCAAGAAATACAAATTCCAAAGCAGAATTTATATGCCCACTTCACATATGACAGCAATACTTAATAACCATATGTTGAATATAATACACTGTATGTAAATGCTGTTCTTGAAAGCAATCCAATCAATAAAACCTAAAATAAATAATACTTTAATAACACATTTCAAATAGACTGAAAATGGAATAGATGGACTCTATGGCAAGAACATCCCTATAAAACTGACATTCAGAGACCATTAAAACACAGAGAGTAAAACAATCATGAAACTAAAGAAAAACTGTGAATATTTAGAACTTTTTTAAAAGCGTACTACACTGTACGCCAAGATACAGCAGTCGTTTTTATTTAAAGAGCTATTTCAATAAAAGCTGTGGATTCCTAAGTATTAAAAAGCAAATTCAGTTTGCCACAACCAATAACCAAAAATACTTTTAAAAAAATATACAATATTACCCAGATTTTTAAAATACATAGTATTAAACAGAAAAAAAGTCAAAACAGAAAAAGCTCATTTTCGTTATAATTAGGATTATTAAGAGACTGACCAATTTTATCATTAAAGAAGGTTATAGGAAAGCTACTGAGGTTAACTTCAAAGGCCTAGCAGTAAAAAGTGATTGTAATGTCAATAAAACTCTGAAACAGATCAAATAGCCCCTAAGTAGTACTAATCTACTGTATCTTTGAAAATGTATATGCTTTTTTTTAAGCTGACAAAATTACCCTTTTTTCATTTAATTTGTTTTTAATATCACATTTTTAAAAATATCCAACTATTAAACTGTTAACAGCAGCTCAGAATACAGAAACTTTACCTTCCCTCATTCATAATATGAATTCAGATTTGAACATTTTTTTTTCCTCTTTGTCCTAGTTCTAGAAAACATGGTTTTGTCATCCCACATTGTACAGTGATAGTTTATATTTTTCAACACGAGTGCTTGTTTATGTGTACAAACAAATGAAACAATGAAGCGTGCGTACAATTATTTAACCAGTTTTTCTCTCATTTATTAACTCAAACTCATACATGAAAATGAGATGTTTGTGATGTGATTGATGTTTTTCATTTCAATTTTGTCACTTTAGATCCTGGGAAGACTCTGCCTGAAGCCCTTGATTATTGCACTGTTTGGCTACAAACAGTGCCTGGAGAAATAGACAGCAAAAGTGGTATTCCACCTTCCTTTATAACACTACAGATTAAAGACTTTCTGAATGGACCAGGTAAGAAAGTCATAAAATTTACATGTGTGTACATTTTTTATGTGAATATATTAACATGTATATAGGATCTGTTAGTACTCTTGACATTCCATGCAAAAAATGAATACTTCACTTTTTCCCAGAGGTGTATGCTTTTCAGGCTGCCGATTTTAGAGATCAACAGGCAAATATAAGTATGCATTAAGAATTACCTTCAGTCTGACAAGAAGGTAGTTATCAACTAAAGAGCAGTTGACTGGAAGCCAAAGCCCCAATATTTTATTTCTACCTTTTCTGTTAATTAACTGTATGATCTTAAGTGATTGATCTAATCTTCTATACTTCAGTTTTCTTACCTGTATATGAAGAGGATAGACTGGATGGATGAATGGAAGGAAACATGATATATATACATAAGACAGTATACATAGTTTAGATTTGATAGTTAAATGTACCTGTTTCACATGCTTAGCAAAGTGCTTGAGACATAGTAACTACTCAGTTTTAGATACAGATATCAAAATTTTTTGAGAGCTAATTATGTCCCAGGCACTATGCATTTTAGGAGTATGCACTATAGTTATTCCTATTTTATGAATAAGGAAGCTAAGACTTAGAAAAGTGAAGTAAATTGCCTAAGGTCATAGTGACAGAGGAGCCATTCAAACCTAAGTTTTTATGACTCCAAAGACTAGAACTTAACTTCTGTACTACACTAATTTGGGCATAACTAAAGATTTTTTCTTTATTCCTTGATCTTCCTCCTCTGTCTTTTCTTCCTTCATCTCATGTTCTTCCCCCTCTTCTGTTATTTCTCCCTCACTCCATATAGTCTTAGCTATTTATTTAACAAAAATTATTGCATTTCACTTTTTGTTTTGTTATTTTATACTTACAGTGCTTCAGAGTGTTACCCACGAAATGAGTATTAGTTTCTTCATTAAGAATTTTATTTCATTTTATTTTTTATTTATTTATTTTTTTGAGATCATCTTGCTCTGTCACCCAGGCCAAAGTACAGTGGTGCAATCATAGCTCACTGTAGCCTCAATCTCTTGGGCTCCAGCAGAAGTATAGTGGTGCAATCATATCTCACTGTAGCCTCAATCTCCTGGGCTCCAGCAGAAGTATAGTGGTACAATCATATCTCACTATAGCCTCAATCTCTGGGCTCCAGCAATTCTCCTGCTTCAGCCTCCCAAGTAGCTGGGACTACAGGTGTGTTCCACTACGCCCAACTAGTTTTTTTGTTGTTGTTGTTTTGTTTTTTTTTTTTAGTAGAGATGAGGTCTCACTATGTTGCCCAGGCTGGTCCTGAACTCCTGGACTCAAGCAATCCTCCTTCTCAGCTTCCTAATGTGCTGGGATTACAGGTGTGAACCACTGCTCCTGGCCATTAAGAATTTAAAATAGGCTGGGCACAGTGGCTTACACCTGTAATCCCAGCATTTTGGGAGGCTGAGACGGACAGATCACTTGAGGCCAAGAATTCCACATCAGCCAAGCCAACATGGTGAAACCCTGTCTCTACTAAAAATAAAAATAAACATAAAAAATTAACTGGCCATGGTGGCACGTACCTGCAGTTCCAGCTACTCCGGAGGCTGAGGCACAAGAATTGCTTGAACTGGGAGGCAAAGGTTGCAGTGAGATGAGATCACACCACTGCGCTCCAGCTTGGGCAACAGAGCAAGACTGTATCTCAAAAAAAAGAAAAGAATTTAATATAGACTTTGTTGAGTATATGTGTTGTGGCATGCTAGTGTACTTATGATCCATACTACAGATGGAGAAAGCCAGTCATGGATTAAACAGAGACTGAAACCATCTCCACTGACCTTGTCACTGGGGCCCAATTCTTCTTCAGCGTATTTTTCTAGTGCTGGGATTGTAAAGGTGTAGAAGTATGAAGAACTATTTCTAATCTTGATAAACTCTAGATATGGTTTTAAATACATGAAGGAACGCAAGAAACTGAAGGATAAGCAAGTCGTTAAAGTGTAGGAAGAACCCTTTGGAGTGAGGTAATAGACTGGAGAAGTGTGAGTCCTAGTATTTGGTTAGTGAGCATGAAGTACCATATTTCATTCCATCTAAGCCACTATCAATTGTAGAAAAACATTCTATGTACCACTAAAAATGAAAAAAAAAACATATGCTATTTACACTGTGATACAGTGCCTTTTTATTACATCAGTGTGAAGACAATTTCTGATTTCAGAGTTGTTCACACATGAAAGACCGAACACAATAAAATAGATGCAATAGGGTAAAAACATGTTAGTTCATGGAAAAGTGACAGGGGAAACTTGGATTTACTTATTTCTCAGTTTTAGTTTCACATTCGTTTTATTTGTAGGCACAGTCACGTTGCTCATTTTGGCTAGAAAATTATCTTGTAGTTTACATTTGATTGATTTGTTTGTTAAAAAAATGGAATTTGAAAGTTGATGGTAAATTAGATACAATATTTTCAAGGCAACCAAATAAATTGAATTTTAAGACAAATGCCAATGAATAAATGAAAAATTATGTATTTACAATTCTGGCATTTAACGTGACTCAGTAGTAGAAATGTGATTTTTTTTTTTTTTTTTTTTTTTTTGAGTCACAGTCTCTGTTGCCCGGCTGGAGTGCAGTGGTGTGATCTCGGCTCACCGCAACCTCTACCTCCCAGGTTCAAGCGATTCTTCTGCCTCAGCTTCCCTAGTAGCTGGGACTGCAGGCACACACCATCACACCTGGCTAATTTTTGTATTTTTAGTAGAGGTTGGGTTTCACCATATTGGCCAGGCTAGTCTCTAACTCCTGACTTCGTGATCCGCGCACCTTGGCCTCCCAAAGTGCCAGGATTACAGGCGTGAGCCACCGTGCCTGGCCAGAAATGTACTTTTTAAAGTAGTTGTACTTTTGTGTTTCTTAAGATACTTTTCAAAGTTGGGAATTAAATATATACAATTTCTGATTTTATGTCCATGCTACAATAGTGATAATATATTTGGAGATTTAAACTTTTAAGTAAATGAATTGAAATAGTTATTTTACAGCAGCACTTCTCAAACTTGATTCTGCATTTGAAACTTCCCTGGGGAGTTTGTTAAAATGCAAATGGTGATTTAATAGTTCTAGAAGGTAGGGCTTGAAAGTCATGTCTAAAAAGCTCCCAGATAGAGTAGATGCTGTTGGTCTGGTACTGTAGTTTTTGTAGCAAGTTTTATATGGCTCTTACCAAAATTCTTTTTAAAAAAATATACATATGACTTATCATATATGATTTTTGTTTTTAGTATCAGTCTTTGAGAGCCAAACCACAGATATTTTGGGGAACAGGACAGGGCAATGATAAAGAAAGATGAGTGGTTTTTAGAATGGTGCTTTGATTATGGAAAATCGAATATAATATCCAATGGATGATTTAAGTTCTTCAAAGTCTAAAACATTTTAAACAAAAGTACATTTCTTTTATTTGAGGGAAGATTAGTTTAAATGATATATCAGCTGTGTGTGACTTCCTCTAAAACAGTAACCTAACAGCCTTTAACTGCTCCAGAATTTACTAGCTTAGACAAAAATTTTCCTACTGTAAGCAATTTGTGATTTAGAGTAGATAAGTAGATGTTATTTCATAGAGTAATTATATTATCTCACTACACAGCCAGATTGGCATGCTACTACATTAATTTAGGAATCAAATGGCTATAGAAGATAGTGAGACTTGAATACCACTAATTAAATGGGAATAACAGGACACATTAAAACAGCTTTTACTATATGAATGTATTATTTTATAGATTTTAACAACTCAAGGAAATTATATTTTTTCCAGCTCCTAGGGAGGATACTATGAGGAATATCATTTATGTTGAGATTGGGCAAACAAATTCCAGCTTTATAATGTTCCCTAATAACATTCCTTTTCCTTGAAGAAAAAGCATTACAAAAAAATAATAAAAGCACTACAAGTAATACTTTTAGTTTTTAGGTAATGTCATTGTGTTATCATTAGAAATCTTTAGCTACTATTATGTTTTAATCTGTATGCATATCTATTTAAGTATCATTCCAGAGAATGTCTTGAACTATATTACTAATTTCCATTTATTTTTTCTTGCTCTTTAATGAAAGGTATAGTAACAATGAAAGTTATGACCCTGAATTAGCCAGGCATGGTGGTATGTGCCTGTAGTCCTTGCTACTCAGAAAGGCGAGGTGGGAAGATTGCTTGAGCCCAGGAGGTAAAGGCTGAAGTAAGCTATAATCACACTACTGCACTCCAGTTTGGGCAACAGAGTGAGACCCTGTCTCAAAAAAAAAAAAAAAAAAGTTACAACCCTTAAAGGTAGAGGGAATACTGATTATAACTGTCTAACCTTAAGCTTTCTTCAAAAAGATGTAAACTTCACAGCTTTTGAAATTTAGCCTTTTAGATTTATTTTGTAGGGATTATTTTCTCTAAACAAGGTGATACAAATGCTGCTCTTTAGCACTTGTTTTTAGAAAAATAATGTGGAGTTCTTGAGTATTCCCCTATTTCATCTGTTCACCTAATGGTACCTTAATAGAGCAAATGGTAGGTCCCAACTTATACATCAAAAACTCTTTCAAAGCGCTCCCAACCCCCCACCTTTTCCCCCTTGTACCCATTAGCAAGGTCAGTGGCTTGGAGAAACCTGGAAAACAGCAGCTACCAGAAACCCACTAGAATAATATCTCCAGCAGGTGATAGATTAGTTGGAACAAATTGGAACCATTGCAGTTCAGCAATCCTGGTTTCTTTCAAGCTGTTTTTAAAATGTCGTCATTTTAGTACACAATCTAAACCCTGCGGAACAGTCCACAGCAGGTTAATTTGAATCATATGATGTGTCACTGCCCTCAGCTGACATGAGCTCTATTCCATGTGTGAAGCCATAATAAATCCATTCCCAACCGAGGAAAATTCCCCGTGAGAAGGTGAACTATTCCAGGCCTCACACTGGCATGCTAGCCCTCTGTAATTGAAAGCAGGGCCACCTGTTCCC